CCTGGGGCCCCCCCCCCCCTCCGCTTACTGGCTCCTGGGCGCTCCAGGCGGCAGCGCTGAGCCTCACGCGAGGGCTCTAGTAACCGTTCTAACCCCCGGGAGGAGACGGACCCGCTCCCCTTCCCCAGGGGGGACCACTCTCGGGCTGTCCCCTGGGAGGCCCCCTCCTCACACGCCCCCAAGGATCCCTCCTTCCTCCTCCTCCCCCCGCCCCCCCCAAGCAGTTCTGCGGCCACCTGCCGGTCCTCAGCGGCCCCAGCGCAGGTAGGACTGGGCTTTGCTGCCTCCCGTGGCGACCCGCTCCCCGTCCTCTGCAGGCCGCAGGCTCCACCCCAGGGGCTGCTCCTCAGCCACCGCGGTTCTCTGGGCGGGTTTTCCGTGTGTGTATCCATTGGCCTCTGCAGAGGTCACAGGCTTGTCTGTCTGCCAGTCACTCTGCGCGCAGTGGTCTGTGCCCAGGAGCCAAGTCCAAGTTCGTCCATTTGCCCAACAGGTGCTCCCTGATGAAACCTCGTCGGCAGATGTGTCTCCCTTCCCTTACCTTGCCTCCTGTACCCTTCCGGCCAGGTGAGGGGGCAGTGGCCTGGCTGGTGGGAAGGAACCTGTGCAGGGAGGGCCCCCACCCCTGTCCTGGGCGGGCTTCTTACCAGACTCGCTGCGGAGGCTGTAGGTAGGGTTGAGGGTCCCAGAAAGGGCCCTCTGCTGGCCTGGCTCTGCCCCGCAGCTCCCATTTCCCTGTCCTAAGTCCCTCCTCTCTTCCTTCCCCAACCCCTTGACCCTGACCATCCCTTGACCAGAGCCTAAGGCCCCCTTCTCTTGCTCCTTTCCTGGGCTGGGCCACGCAGGTGAGGCCCAGCGGCCAGGAACCTGGAACTGGCAGGCGGAGCCTGAGCAGTGGGCCAGGTCGGTTCGCCAGCAGTTGGATGCCCAGCTCCTCGTGGTCTCGAAGACGTGGGTAGACTCATCTCCCAAAGAGGCACCACACGATGCCCTGGAGTCCCAGCACCAGGAGAGGCGGCAGAGGCAGTTCCTGCAGGCGCTGACGCAGTCACTGCCCGGCCTGCGGCGCCTGGTCTCTGAGCTCCGCACTCTGTTCTCAGCTGTGCTCCAGGACGGCAGCCTTGAGGCCTGGCACTACCTGCACGCAGTGCTCTGCCTGCTGCCTCCATACCAAGCGCTGCTCGTGGGCCACCTGGATCTGCTGCCCTTCCTGGAGCAGCTGTACCGCTGGGCACCCTGGGTCCAAACCCAGCTCCAGCTGGACCTGCTCGATGCCATAGACCAGGCCTTTCCCCAAGACACCTCTTTGTTAGAGAGTGCCTCTCATGCTGACTGCTGCCTTCAGAAGCAGAGGTTCCGTCATGGGCCTCCCATCCCAGCATGCCCTTTTGTGCGGGCCAGGAGGAGTGGGCAGCAAGGAGAGGAAAAGTTAGCCACGTGGCTGCGGCCACTGACTCTGCCTGAGCTGCAGCACAGCCTGGGCATTGTGGGTGCCGAGGTGGCTGTGAATGAGGCACCGTGGCGAGATGGCCTTGGCCTCCTGTCCTTGGCACTGGCAGCAGACATCCCGGTACAGTATGAAAGCGGGGGCACCGACGACGCGGAGGAGGAGTCTGTTGGAAGAAAAAAGACTAAGTAAGTGAGGGACCCAGCCTGGGGTTCTGAGTGGAGCAGAGAAAGAAGCTAGTTTATGGGTGCCTCCTGGGGGGGTTGGTTGTCAAAAGGCAGCTCTCTATTGATTTTAGTGACTAGCCTAACCCCAAGCCCACCCGGTGTGAGGCTGCTCCTCTCTTCCTTTGTTTTTTAAATATATTTTTATTGATTTTAGAGAGGAAGGGCGAGGGATAGAGAGATAGTAACATCAATGATGAGAGAGTCATTGATCGGCTGCCTCCTGCACGCCCCCTACTGGGGATTGAGCCCGCAACCCAGACATGTGCCCTAGGCTGGAATTGAACCCGGGACCTTTCTGCAAGCTGATGCTCTCTCCACTGAGCCCAACCGGCTAAGGCTCCTCTCTTTCTTTTTGTCTGCAAAATTAACCCAGTGGTCTTAGTGTTAATCCCCACAGGAAACTGCAGAAACTTATGAAAATCAAGTCAGCTGTGAGGAAGCCAAAGCTTCAGAGGACAGCTTGAGTTCCCAGACTTCTTTCTCAGATGGTGCTGGAAGCCGCCTTAGTTTTCTTCTCACTCATTCATAATCCCTGAGCCTCGCGCCTGGGCTGCCCTAGTACTGGGTGCTGCATGCTGGGTACAGGTCTTCCCCTCAGGATGCTCCTGGATGTGTGCTTGTCTGGGGGCCTTTGCACTCACATCAGTGTGAGCTAAGCCATCTCCACGGCAGCTTCAAGTTGCCAGCACTGCTGGAGGGACTTCATTCTGATCCTTCCAGGCTCTTCTTCCTGCCTTGCCAGTGTGGGTATCCTGGCCCCTCTATGATGACCCTCTTCCCCCAATCTGGCTCTTGTTGTTTTCTTCAGGATTTCAGAATGCCAACAGAGACCTCCTTTTCTGAGAGTTCTCTAACTCTAGTCTTGGAATCCCTCCCCAATCCTCTGGATTGATTTTCTTTTTCATATATATATGTGTGTATATATATATATATATATATATATATATATATATGCCTAAGTGACCGTTAGGACTGGATGATCCAAAGACCAGCTGGTAGCTATGACCTGCACTGACTACCAGGGGGAAGACGTTCAATGCAGGAGCTGCCCCCTGGTGGTCAGTGTGCTCTCACAGCCAACCTCCCGGGACCAGCTAACCTCCCACGCAGTCCCTCCAATCTCCCGTGGTCCCTCCTCATGGCTGGTTTGATCAGGACTGGGGGAGACGGTCCAGATTGGTCCTTATCACAGGCCAGGCCGAGGGACCCCACCTGTGCACAAATTCGTGCACCAAACCTCCTGGTTCATAGGTTAATGTTCAACCCCTAAGCCATGCCAGCTGGTCATGGGTTGATTTTCTAAGTGCTTTGCAGCTTGTGTGTGACACATTCATGATCTGGCTAGTTTTGCTTCTAATCCAGCTCGACTTTGTCAGTTTTTGCTCTAAGGTAATGTCTGGGTCAAGTTTTCTCTGAAGCCTTAGCGCCCTAATGGTGGACAGAGAGGCAGGCTCCTGTAGGCCCTGATGGCAGGTGGCCGGCACTTACAATTTATGCCTTCAATAACCCCAGCCGGCTCCCTTTTACACTGTGTCCCCGTGTAAGTTTCCTTTCCTGGGGGAATGTAACTGAAGTGAGAATGGGCTGAGATGTAGGGAAGGAGTCAAGTTTTCTCTGCCCTCTCTTGAACCTGGCGTCAAACCTCTGAGGCCTAGCTAATGTGGCTTAATTTGCATGAAGTTTTCCAGGACTGGTCTCTGAGGCATTCATTCATTCAATAAGTATTATGGATGTTTAATATATATTAGGAGCTGCTAGATGCTGAGGATACAAAAGTGAACAAGATGGACTCCATCTCCTCCCTTGGGCCTTACAGCTTAGTTAGGGGGATAAATGTTATATAAGTCGATACAAGTAACATATAATTACAAATTGTGCGAAGCTCTACAAAATCTGGCTACTCCTCTGGTGTGTGTACAGTGAGGGGAAAGCACATCAGAGGAGGAGCTTGGTGAGAGCTCTTGCAGTGGGATTGCGTGAGGGGGAAGCCAGACTGTAGTGCATTCAGGAGTGAATGGGAGATGAAGTAGAAATCGCATTTTACTATTCTGCCATGAAGTTTGGCTTGATAGGGAGAGAGATACAGTAAGACAGAAGATTGAAAGAAGAGTAGTGTTTGGACAGAACTCTTAAAAAAGGGGGTGGGGGGGGAGATGTTCATAGCCCTTAAGACAGTGCTTGAGAAGCGGGTGTTCGATAAATATATGTAGAGGGAATGAATAAATATAGGCTAATGGTAAGGAGAACAGACTGAAAATTCCTCAGTGGTTCTAACCTTCTGGCCCTTTAAATACAGTTCCTCATGTTGTGACCCAACCATAAAATTATTTTCGTTGCTACTTCATAACTGTAATGTTGCTACTGTTATGAATCATAATGTAAATATCTGATATGCAGGATGGTCTTAGGCGACCCCTGTGAAAAGGGTCGTTCAACTGCCAAAGGGGTCGCGACCCACAGGTTGAGAACCGCTGGTCTAGGGGAACCTAACCCCAGTGGCCTACAGAGCTCACTTGTTCCAATGAGCAGAGTGTTTTAGTGTGGAGAACATTGCAGTCAAAAGACTGGTCACTGTGAAAATAGAAAGGCACCTTTTTAATTCAAACCTTTAACAGATATAAGAACAAATTCACAATAAGAATGTAATACAGGAAAATAACAAGTGGAAAAACAGGACATAAACATGAATGTCATATCCACATGAATTAAAATTCTGAACACATTGTCTGATCCAACCTCAAGGTCATAAGCCCTATTGTTGATATGAACTTTAGAATAGGATGGTACTGTGTTTGGATCAATTGGCGACACTGGTATACTTTGACTGGTTAAGTCTAAGTTTAATTATTCAGAGGTTTGTGTGTGTGAGTGTGTGTGCGCACGCGCGCTCCAGGTCACTCCAACTAAAATTACTAGTCCCGGTAAAACTTTTCATATCCATTCTGTTGACTGGTGTGGTAAAAGTGTAAGAAGATTTAAACCCTATTGTTGATATGAACTTTAGAATAGGATGGTACTGTGTTTGGATCAATTAGCGACACTGGTATACTCTGACTGGTTAAGTCTAAGTTTAATTATTCAGAGGTTTGTGTGTGTGAGTGTGTGTGTACACGCACACTCCAGGTCACTCCAACTAAAATTACTAGTCGCGGTAAAATTTTTCATATCCATTCTGTTGACTGGTGTGGTGTAAAAGTGTAAGAAGCTTGAGCGGGGGGGGGTGGGGGGCGGGTTTGAAGGATGCACCATTAGGTCCTGGCTGGAAAGGAAAGGATGTGAAGCTGGAGGTTGGGAAGAGCAAGAAAGAGTCACAGGCATGGAGATCAGGTAGGGTTGGAAAGCGGGTACAATGGGAGCAAAGACAGGTGGTCTAGAAGGTTAGGAAGGCTGCCAGAAAGGAGAAATCCAGGGCTGTGGGCTTGCAAGGCGATGAGCTGGGAAAATAAAAGTACTCCCCTTACTTTCACTCAGCACCACAAAATACCTACTTCACAGGAGATGCAATCAATCCAGAGTGACTAGTCATTTATCAGAGGAAGGAGTTGTCTGTGCACATGTCTGTGCATGTGGTTGCCTGACTGTGCCTTCCCGTGGACTGGGTGTGCTCGCACAGGTGGCAGAAAGGCTCGGACAGTGCCACAGCAGGTCCTCTCAGCACCAGACTGACCCAGCTCCTGCTCTCACGGCCAACAATGGCACCCTGACCCCTTTGCTCTGCTTCGTCTCTCCTGACTTTTTCTCATCCAGGTCTCAGCTTGACTCTGAAGTTTCTGAAAAGATCTTCAAAAAGAGCAGCACTAGTGACCTCCCTCCGACTTCCCGCCTGAGTAGCCAGGCGATGGCCATTCTGAAGACAGAGAGATACCTGAAGAAGATCCACTTCGTCTACCTCAATGTGGCTCCTAGCCGGTACTTTAGGTAAGAGCCTAACCCTAGCCCTCAGCTCCTTCCACTCCCTGGTTTCCTCCCGTGTTCTCTCTCCATCCTCTCTGCTCTCCTGCACTTTCTCCCCCCTTCCCCCACACCCCATATTTCTCCTCTGTCTCCCAGTATCCCGCCCCCTTCCCTTCACCTCAGCCTCACAGGCTTTTGTCTGAGTCATCCTCTTCTACCTTTGGCTCTGTCTGCTTTATTCTATCCTAGAATCATAGAAGCGTTTGGCCATTACCTCAGAGAGGAATTTAATGGTGACCTCTCCAAACTCCAGTGCATGAATCGGGTGTTTAAATCTTTTTTTTAAAATATATTTTATTGATTTTTTACAGAGAGGAAGGGAGAGAGATAGAGAGTTAGAAACATCGATGGGAGAGAAACATCGATCAGCTTGCCTCCTGCACATCTCCTACTGGGGTGGTCCCCGAAACCAAGGTATATGCCCTTGACCGGAATCGAACCTGGGACCTTTCAGTCCGCAGGCCGATGCTCTATCCACTGAGCCAAACCAGTTTCAGCTTGTTTAAATCTTTATAGTGTCAGGGAAGTTTTGTGTTTCCCAAAGCATCCTGCTCCTTAGACTGAACCAAAATCTGCTCTCTTTTAACAATTACCCCTCAGTCTTAGTTTGATCTCTGGGGCTATACAAGCAAGTCTCCTCCTCCCACATGACTCCAGAGGCATTCATTCCCTTTCTTCCGTTAGATCCAAATCTTACATATTTCCAAAAGCCCCGTTCAAGCCCCATCTCTTCTCAGAAGTAATAATAACAATTATCATTAATTGAGCTTTCCTGTATACCAGGCATTGTGTTAATAACTACATGAGATGTGTTATTTAATCCTCACCATATTATTTCCATATATGAGATGAGTAGACGGATATATAGAGAAGTTAAATGACTTGTCCAAAGCCACATAAGTGGTGGAAACAGGACTTACACCTAGGACTGTCTTAATTTATTTATTTTTAATATATTTTTATTGATTTTAGAGAGTAAGGGATAGGGAGAGATAGAAACATGAATGATGAGAGAGAATCACTGATTGGCTGCCTTCTGCTTGCCCCACCCTGGAGATTGAGCCCAAAACCTAGGCATGTGCCCTGACTGGGAACTGAACTGTGACCCCTTGGCTTGTAGGTCGACCACTGAGCCACACCAGCCAGGCTGGACCAGCTCATGCTTTTAAGCAGTATCTGAGAGCCTTATTCCATATACACTGATCTTTTTCTCCTGGACTTACATAGCACTATTGATCTGTATCATCCATTCATTTACTGATCAATTCATCAACAAACATTCACTGAGAGCACTGTGCCAGTGATTAAGCAATTGTGTCTTGGTTCTAATTTTACTCTTCTCTCTGCTTTGTGATACTTGGGCTGAGACTAAAAAATCATTTCTCATTTTTCAACTGGCCTCCTGTTAGGCTTGATTAACAGGGGTGCTAGGAGGAGGCTGGACCACAGGATAAGAGGAGAAGGGCCTTTCTCCTTCCTTTGCTTGCTCTTCCTGTCAGCATTGCACCAGGCTGCTTCACCCTGACAGCAGCTGGCACTTCCTACATCAGCCTCTTTGTGATTCTGGGAGGTACCAATGCCAGCCAGGCGGTACCTTCCCATCAGAATTCTGAGTCGCAACTCTGCAAGGCCCCTCCTCCAAAATACTTAGGTACTGGTAGCAGCCAGGAAATTCAACTTCCAACTCTATAACCCCTCCTCCAAGCTTGCAGCTTCTAAGACCCCAAACATCTTTCCTTTGCTCCTCTAGTTGTGGCGCTGGCATCCATTTCCTGCAGTCATTATCTCTGTGTTATGAGCCCAAAACCTAGATATATTTTATTGATTTTTTACAGAGAGGAAGGGAGAGGGATAGAGAGTCAGAAACATCGATGAGAGAGAAACATCGATCAGCTGCCTCCTGCACATCTCCCACTGGGAATGTGCCCGCAACCAAGGTACATGCCCTTGACCAGAATCGAACCCGGGACCCTTCAGTCCGCAGGCCAACGCTCTATCCACTGAGCCAAACCGGCTTTGGCTCTGTGTTACCTTTTTAAAAAAATATATTTTATTGATATTTTACAGAGAGGAAGGGAGAGGGATAGAGAGTTAGAAACATCGATCAGCTGCCTCCTGCACAACCCCTACTGGGGATGTGCCCACAACCAAGGTACATGCCCTTAACAGGAATCGAACCTGGGACCTTTCAGTCTGCAGGCCAACGCTCTGTCCACTGAGCCAAACCGGTTTCGGCTAGTGTTCCTTTTTTGCTTTCTCAGTTCTCTGAAACTAAAAAACACATTCTCACCCTGGCCGATGTGGCTCAATGGTTGGAGCATCTGTCCACACACCAAAGGGTCTTGGTTCAATTCCCAATCAAGGGCACATACCTGGGTTGCATGTTCAATTCCCAACCCCAGTCAGGGCACTTGCAGGAGACAGCCGATCATGTGTCTCGTTTACATCAATGTTTCTCTCTCTCTCTCCTCCCTCTTCCTCCCTTCTACTCTCTCTACAAAATCAATGGGAAAAATGCCCTCAAATGAGGATTAAAAAACAACAACAACACACACACACCCCACATTCTCTCTATTGGATTCACTTTGTTATACTGTCTACTGTGGTTTTGGTTTTCCTGTTGGGACCCTGACAGATACAGTACTTGATATCATGAGTAGTTCCAGGAAATGAGCTCCTTGCCAATGGGAAATACTAATAGGATACTAGTAATCCATGGCATGTAGTGCCATCACAAATAATTAAAGTGATCACTTTTGGTGGAATGTGATGAGATACCTACTGCCACCTAGTGGCGGCTACACATGACTGTCTGGCAGTAATGTTAGTAATGGTAATGATGTGGGATGAGATGCCGATTGGCCATGGTGGAAAGCTAACTAGCTTACTGCAACAAGATACAGCTATTATATAGCTACATGTAAGTTGTTTTGAAGGTGGAATGTAGGTGCATTTCTCCGCAGTAAGAGGATTTGGTGGGATTGTAAGAGAGCTCTGGAGGTGCCTTGTTCACGAGGTGGCAGTTTCCCCCTTTTTGACCTGTGTCTAGTCTTCTCATTGCCCCTTGAGTTTCCCCATTCTCAATTACTCCAAGTGGCATTCTTTGATGGTCTCTGATGTTATTTCAGTGTCTAGAGATACATGAATTTTATCATTTCCAAGCTGCACATTTTTTCCCCCACATTTTGACACCTCTGAAATTGCGATGCATCTTACAGATCGATGGAGTATCATATTGGGAGCATTTTTTCTTTCATTAAAAAATGCTGCATCTTACAATGAATGGAAATCTTAGATTTGATGGGATGTAAGGTATCCAGGTCTGGAGATATGAACTTGGAATTGGCTAGGTGCTTTTTTTTTTCTTTCCATCTATCCTTGGCTTCTATTTCTTCTTTATCGTAGTTGATCCATCTTTCTATTTTGAAGATCATTCTGCTCTTTTACCTCTCTTCTACAGCCTTCTTTCCTGCCTCCTTTAAAAAAAACACTCCCCTCCCTTCTTTTGTCCCTTCCTGAAGCCTGCACGCGTTCCCAGGGCTCCCACTGATCAGAGCCCCTTTTTAAAGGCCCTACAGCCTGGTGGTGGTGCCGCCAAACAAGGTGAACCCTGAGCACTACATCTTCTCGCCCTTTGGGGTCCTGCATGTGCATCCTAAGGAGGCCACCGAGACAATGACGCTGGGTACCTGGCACCGCCACTTCGTCCTCTGGCAACACCTCCAGCTCATTCCGTTCTTCAAGTATTGCCTCTTACGCAAGGCCTGGGCCTGGTAGGTGATGATGGCTGTGTGGTTGGGGGGAAGTGCTGCAGAGAGCCACCTGCATGTCGCCACTCCCTCTGCCCCGTAGCTGGAGGAAGACCGTGAAGTTTCAGAGGCTGCACCGGTGCCGGAATTTCCTGGGGAGGCATCTACTCTTTGCCGTGCCCCACTTTGGAGTGGCGCTGCTCCATATCAGCAGGTGAGGTCTTCAAAACACAACTTTGGCGGATTTTAAAAATCATTTTTAGAAAAAGAAATAACATGTTCCTTGTAGACAATTTGGAAAATACAAAGAAGCACAAGGGGAAATCAGTTTTAATCCCTCCACCCGTAAGTAACCACTATGAACATTTTGCTGCATATTCTTCTATCTTTTTTCTATCACACATACAATTGTGATCAGACTTTACATATTGTCAAGTAACCCATTTTTTTTTTACCTCTGAATAATATATTCTGAACGTATCACTGTGTACTAATGCACTCCTACACCAGGTTACCCCAGATCACACAATGATTAAGTAGCACATCTGGGGATCTAGCTCAGGTGGTTGACTCCACAGTATTACTTGGGTTCTTTCTTTGGAAAAGCTTCACTGTTGCCAATGGAGCAGAGGCCCAGCATGTCAGCCACCTTATTTTTCAGGATTGCCTGGAAATGCACATTTTGTTGTACAATTTCTTAATTTTACCTCGTTAGCTCAAATTTTTATTAAGACACCATTTCAGTCAGAATGTGGCCCATGGGCTGCCAGTTTGTAACCTACACTCTGGGCATCCTCCAGCCTCGCCTAACCATCATGGTGCTCATCAAAAGCTGAAGGGCTTGGAGGCTGGACTGGTCTGAATTTAAATCCTGGACACGAGCAAGGGGCTTTACCTGAATAGAGATAAAGATTTCTGCTACACAGCTGTAGTGAGAATTAAAGGAGATTGTGAATATAAAGTTCCATGTTCAGTGCCTCATAGTAGCTACCGAATAAATGACACCCATTAGGATCATCCTCTGCTCGTTGGAGGTCTTTCATCTCTCTCTCTCTCTCTCTCTCTCTCTCTCTCTCTCTCTCTCTCTCCTTTCCTCTGTTTTAAGGGTGTTTAGAGATGTGGAATTTTCAGGGTGGGTGGTGGAGAATGGGTAACAGAAGTGGGATTCCTCAGGGATAGTCAGCCTATAGCAGTGATGGCGAACCTTTTGAGTTCGGCGTGTCAGCATTTTGAAAAGCCCTAACTTAACTCTGGTGCCGTGTCACATATAGAAATTTTTTGATATTTGCAACCATAGTAAAACAAAGACTTATATTTTTGATATTTATTTTATATATTTAAATGCCATTTAACAAAGAAAAATCATCCACAAGAAGGAGTTCGCATGTCATAGGTTCACCATCACTGGCCTATAGGGAAGTGGCAGGTCCATCACCTTTGATCTTTAAACTCCCGCATCCATTTAGACTAGTAGGGCCCTCCGCTTCCCCTCGTCCAAGGAGGAAGCCTCTGTAGTCTCTCCTTCTAAGTCGGACCTTGGGCTCTATTTGACCCTTTCTCCTGGCAGGAAGGTCACTCAGGGTAAACATTTGCACATACCCCAGGCCTCTCCCAAAGAGGTCCCCAGCCAGAAACTTCCTGGGCTTGAATTCTTCCAAAGAATTCTCAAGAGGGAGCTGTGGCTGACGGTCACTGGGCATATTATAATCTTTCTAAACCTTTGCTCATTCTGAGGTGAGCTGAGCTAGCAAGAGGTCAAATGTGTCCAAGGAGAGAGGGCTGAGAAGCGGCTCTGACCAGTGTGGCCCTTGATTCCAGGCTTCTGCAGGAGCTGCACTCTGTGTCCTGGCTCCCCCAGGAGCCGGACCGGTGCTACGAGCTGCTGGACCTGCAGCGGGCTCTAACCCAGGAGAACCACAAGGCCCTGGAGCTGCTTTCTCGCTGTCTGCAACTCTGCAAGTCCATCCTGGACATGGTAAGAGGCTCCAGTGTATGGTGACCCCTTTCTCCAAGCTGAGCTGCCAGAGTTCCAGCTCCCTCTTGGCTTGAGCTTCTCCTGGGATCCCCTGGGTGGCCTGGGCTCTGCAATTGGCTCAACCATTGTTCTGCACAGCAACAGCAGCCTTTGCCCCGTGCTGGCTGGATCAGTAACAGGTGGGCAGAGACTTGGACTCAGCCTTTCCCTAAGGGTTGGTCCTGCCCTTGAGCAGGGAGGAGAAGGAACATAACAACATCTATTTTTCAGTTGTTTGTGCCAGAGGCACTAGGGAATTTGAGAGTTGGAATCCTGATCTTTCATACTGCCAGGCTTATCTTTGAACCAATCTTGCAACTTTGGCAGGTGCTGTGGCTCATAGAAGTACCCAATGATGGCATCCTTCCTAACTTTGCCTGCTTTGCATCTGCGGTTCATGCCCCCGGCCAGGGGCCTGGGAGGCCCTGCTGTGTACTTGCCTCTTCCCCATGACCTATCATCGTGGTTTTTTGTCTGTCAGGTGGGGCTGGATGACTTACAAAGTTCTCTGGCTAATCACCCTCTGTAGATAGTCCAGTTCTGAGAGAGAGGGCCCACCCAGATTTTGTGAAAATGAGAAATGATGTGAAGGAGGCCCTTGGTACATTCATACGGGGAATGGTCTTTAGCCTCCAGACAGCAACAGCTGAACTGAATGGGGCATTGCACTGAACTGAATGGGGCAAAAGGTGGAGGTGAGGTGCTCC